TCATCTGTGCTGTGTCTACTCAAGGGAATTCGAAAGCAGATCAGTGGGTGAAGAGTTACACACTGCAATTATCTACAGATGGGACAACTTGGACAGACTATACAGAATTAGGTGGACAGGTTAAGGTGTAAAATACATTCTGTTTTGAAGCATTACTTCAGAAACAACTAAGATTTAGCATGCATTGACTTTAACATTTATATCTAATCCCCATAAGCATGCAGGAGGCAGTGGCCAGTTCTTGCCCTAACAAATTATTAAATATAAATGTGTGATACAGGGTGTGATACTAACAGAAACACTGACACTGTTGAAAAAAAAATAGCTTTCAAGCCCTGATTCTTAAGAGTCTCTGAGCTGTTGTTAGTTTCAAAATTTCAATATTCATTTAACAAATATTATTAAAAGGAAAGATGGTAAATTTTGAGCTTGGTGAAAATAATTGAGAAAGTTTTTTTCATCTTTTCACAAGTGTGGGACAAAGCAAAAAAATTTGAGTCCTTGTGTAGTATTAAACCTCAGACCTTCAGATTCAGTGCTCAAATTCTCAAATCACTTAAATAGCAGGTGACTATATTAGTTAAAGATGAAATCATACATTTCCATAATCACCACCTAGTGAACCTCAAATTATCAAAAAGTCCATTATTAGATTTCTTCTTGTTTAAAGAACAAATGTAGGAGAACAAAATGAATTCACTGATATTAATTGAACATTCACAGTATCATCTGAAGGCTTAGCAAATGCAGTGTCTTCAGCTGAGCCTTCAGCAAATGATTTTTCAGAGCTGTGAGATGGCTGCTGAGGAAAATTAAGAATTTATTTGCACTGCTGGCTAACACTTCTTTTTCATACATGGCAAACCAAATGCCATTATTTGTAAATGAAAATGAGTGTTGCTAGCCCTCAGTCATCTGCTTGTTGAAAATGGAAAGAATAGATTGTCACTCAAAATTAATGAGGGTGCTTCGTTACTTGTGGTGACCATTTCTTAAGAGCTCAAAGATGTTTCCTACCCCATCTTCATTTTTATCTCTATCACACAATTTTCAAGGTTTAACTCTTGGCCTTTAAGAGTACTAGCATCTTTTTTCTGGTTACAATAATGGAAATGATCAGAAGCTTTTTGTCATGTAGCACCTTAGGAAATGTAAAGAGAACAGTTTGAGGAATGTGTCTACTGATGTGAGGGTGTAAGGGGTTAAGGAGGAAATGATGAGAGAAATTCAAATGTTATAAGCAGTATGGATATCATTATCACTGATATTTTCTTGTGACTATTTTTTGTTTCTTTTAAGGTTCTGATAGGAAATGATGACAAAAACTCAGAAGTAAAGCATGTCGTTTATGGAATGTTGACTAGGTATCTGCGATTCCGGCCACAAACTCACCAGGGCAGGGTGTGTATGAGAACAGAGGTGTTTGGAGTGAAACAAAAGCCAAGTGAGTTTGAAATTTAATGTTCCATGATTGCTATGATCTGCCACTTTAAGGGCATTCTAAGATACTCCGGCTTAATATGTAGAAAAGGGTTTTTAACTTAATACATCTGTAGTTGTGTTCTTTTAATAATATACACTGAGTTTTTTGGATACAGTTAGTGGCTAAAATGAAACAAACCACATTGTATATAAATTATAGTCTGATGGTACTGTTTACAGTGTATACAGTCATCAAAAACACCAAGCCACTCATGATAACTTGGAAGTTGCATGCTCAACAATTTATGTCTCTAATTTGCCAAAGAAACACCTTAAGTCACAAAGAAAGGAAATGGCTGATAGAAAATGTTGAATATGAATTTATTTTTGGTACCTGAAATTCCATTTTAAACTCTTTAAAATCTCTACTCTTTTGATATGTACATTATTAGATTAAATGTAATTTTTGCAATGTGAAACTCGAATTATTGGCTTTGAGATGATTGGGATAAATACCAACTAAGTTGAGGTAATATTTGGTGTTCAAATGCTGTTGTAGTCAGTTGAGTAATCATTTCAATTAATAAGAAACTGTATAATTGTTTGTCTTGTGATGTAGTCACTTGAGATGTAGATCATGGCATTTGAATTGCTTAGTGCTAGTATTCATCAGGTAACGGAGTCAACTGCTGATGCGTTACCATTTGTATCACGGCATTCTATTGTGATGGGTGGATTTCGATCCCCATTGTTCTGATGACTGCTGGTTTTCTAAACTCCTCCTCAAGGAAAGCCTGTGATGAACTTCAAGTCCACAGCGCTTTTGCCCTATGTAAAAGGTGTATCAGAGCCTCTTTGCCGTTGCCTACAATGACAAGGCTTCCACACAGTCTTAAAGTCCAACATGACGCTT